GCATTTACAATATAATTATTTTCATAACACATCAAAATTATTTTCAATATTCAAAAAAGATTTATGTTAAACATAGTTTTAATTTATTGACAAATGCTTGACTTATTACATTCAAAATGACACATACTAAGTATAATATAAATTAATAGATATTTTTTTGATACTTTCTATTGAATATATATCATTAATTTCAATGTCACGTTAATACATTTAAAAAAATTGAAAGATATACATTAGTAATTACTCTATTTTTAATTATTGACAAATTGATAAGATATTATTGCAATTGAGTTATGCAAACGCCATTATCTTTATATAATTGGTTGTAGTTTCCTTTTTAAAAAAGATCATACTTCTTTTTTATACATTAAGACGTGATTGATCTTAGGGCAAATGTCCAAATATGCCCTTGTACTATACGAAATTGAGCACATTTGCCTTTCGTTAATACTTTAGCTCAAATATGTCCTTACCGTCACATAGTTGGTCCATATATGCCCTTAGAGTTACACAATTGGCTCGTATATGCCCTTTTCGAAACGGAATTCACCCAAACTAATTAACTCTTTCTTTAATTGTATTAAAATGTATTAGAAACACTATTTCTTTTTTATAAGTATTTTTTTTTCTTTGCCTTTTTCTTTTCTTTCTTCTTTTTTCTTTTCTTCTCTTTTTTTTTCCCCTTTTTCTTTCTCCCTTATCCGTTTCTTCCATTATTGATGTCTTCTCCATTTTCGTCACCAATTTCACTTGACAAAACTCATGAATTCTAATTACTAAGAAAATTCTCCCATAAAACCGAACCAACCCATTTCATGTACACCCCTAATTTACATAGTTAATAAAAAAAAAAAACGTCCAGTTGAAAAAAGATGAAAAAAGACTAACAACTCAAATTTATAACACTACAACTTGAACTCTAGGCTTTTAGTCATTAAATTATCTTTCTGAAAATAATTTAAATATTTTGGTCTTTTGAGTATTGTTAAAGGTTGAGATGTTTTTATTATTTTAAAGTTTAAACCATAATTTTTGGAACAATTTAATTTCGTTTATTTAGAGGGCCAGTGAAATTGGAACTTGATTACCTTATGGGAAAATTTTCTTAGTAATTGGAATTCATGAGTTTTGTCAAGTGAAATTGGTGACGAAAATGGAGAAGACATCAGTAATGGAGGAAACGGATAAGGGAGAAAGAAAAAGGAAAAGAAAAGAGAAGAAAAGAAAAAGAAGAAAGAAAAGAGAAAGGTAGAGAAAAAAAATACTAATAAAAAGAAAATAGTGTTTGTAATACACTTTAATACAATTAACGAAAGAGCTAATTAGTTTGAGTGGATTCCGTTTCGAAAAGGGCATATATGAGCCAACTGTATAACTCTAAGGGCATATATGGACCAACTATGTGATGGTAAGGGCATATTTGAACTAAAGTATTAACGAAAGGCAAATGTGCTCAATTTCGTATAGTACAAAAATATATTTGGACCTTTTTCGTTGATCTTATGAAACGTACTCTTGGCTTGCTTCATAAGTTGTTATTAACTTTGCATGATTTAAAAAATAGCAGTTATGATTTATTTTGTTGACCAAATAATAAGTATTCCCCCACATGTAAATAAATAATATATTTGAGAATCGAACTTTATGTGCATCACACAAATATTCTATGTTTACATAACCAATTAGTTGGGAATTAAATTTATTTAAATAAAACAATCAAATATCAATTAATTCTTGAAATATCTAGATAGATNATGTATTGGTAGCAGGTCATATGGATACTCTAATTGTATTAAGATATAGTGTTTTAGTACCAAGAAGTTTTTCATAATTTTTAGAGATAGTAATATATTATTATTTACTCAAGTAATCTCATAATTATCGGGTGCAAAACATATTTATTCTTATCCATGCACAACCATTCTATGTGCGAGATAAGCTTAAACTTATTAATTTTTAAAAAATAATTATTTTACGGGTTTTAGAAAACAACAAAATCCAAGAAAATAAAATCTAAACATGCCATTTTGTTTCCCAAATCTAAAACAATTTCAAATGCCTTCTGAGCTTATAAGTTATAACTATCCCCAACACAGCAACACTTACCAGTAAAACAAAGTTGATTTTGTCTTATATTTTTATTCCGTTCTTTCTAATTCTTCATTTTACTCTTGTAATACTATTATTACAATAAAGTACTCATTTTATTAAAATAAAAGAAAATATTTTTTCTACTTCACGAAAGAAAAACTAATTTTGTTGAAATGAAAAAAAAAAAATCTTTTCTGCATCATGAAAAGAAAGTAGTCTAAATAATATTTTCGTGGGGTCGGGTGGTGGGTAGGTGGGAGTGATGGTTAGGTGGGGTAATAGGTAAAGTTGAAAAAGAGTTTTAAACAATATTTTTTCTTTTCTTGATAGAGAAAATATTTTCCTCCAATTGGAGAAAAACGAATTCATAAATAAAATATTTGTTCAAATATTTAATCCAACTAAATATGGATTTTTTTTAAAAAAATAACTCCAAGGGGTTGTTTGGTACGATGTATTAGAGAAAGCGGAAAATGGTCAAATATGCCCCTAAACTATTGAAAATAGAGCAATTATACCCTCCGTTTGTATTGGGTACAAAATTGTCCTTGCCGTTAATAAAGTGGTTCACTTTTGCCCCTCCCCACTAACAAACTCCACATCAAGGACAATTTTGCACCCAAATACAAATGGAGGGCATAATTGCTCTATTTTCAATAGTTCAGGGGCATATTTAACCCTTTTTCGTATAAAATAATACTTTTTTGCTAAGTTGAAAAGGTCAAAATATGCCCCTAAACTATTAAAAATAGAGTAATTATGCCATCTGTTTGCATTTGGGTACAAAAGGAGGGCACAATTTTGTCCCCAAATACCCACATCAGAGATATGGCAAGACATTCCTTTCCCTTAGCTGGCCGGAGGGATTTTCCGGTGAGATTTCTCGTCATTGTAGTAATTACTACGTAAAGGATATGGCAAGACATTCCTTTTCCTTTTTTTTTTTTTTTTTTTTTTTTTTTTTACAAAGAAGACTTTTTCTCCAACATGGATTTTCAACTCAGCAAAAAAATATTATTTTATACAAAAAAGGTCAAATATGCCACTGAACTATTGAAACTAGAGCAATTATGCCCTCTGTTTGTATTTGGGTATAAAATTGTCCTTGGTGTGGAGTATGTTAGTGAGGAGGGGCAAAAGTGAACCACTTTATTAACGGCAAGGGCAATTTTGTACCCAAATACAAACGGAGGGCATAGTTGCTCTATTTTCAATAGTTCAGGGGCATGTTTGAACCTTTTCCATAGAGAAAATAATGCATGCATTAGCTTTTGGTGCTACTAATCCCTTGGGTTGTACACATTTTCAACCTATGTATTACTAATGCAAGTATTAGTTATACAACCTATTTGGTATTATCCTATGTATAACTAATACATAGCAAACTATGGTATTAGCAATACCAATGCTATTAATGCATGCATTAGCATGGGTAAAGATAAAATTATCCTTAAAGTTCTTTAAAGCTAAAGAATATGAAGGGCATTTTTGTAAACAACTAATTTTCTTAAAAATTATGCATTGCATTTTAATACGCCACACCAAACAGTGGATAAGAAATAATTTCTGCATAACTAATGTTTGCATTACTAACCCATGCATTATTAATCTTTTCATTACTAATACACCTTATTCAACAATATTTGTATACACCCTACCAAACGACTCCTAAGATTGAACATTTTCATGGGTCAAGGTTGGGCATCATCATCGGTCTATTTGGGCTGATGAGTTTTAATGGGTTAACTTAAGCTATCCTAAAAAAATCCATTTTCAAAATCGTTCTAGCCCAAACCCATTAAAATTTGGACGGATTGGGCAAGTCAAATGAGTTTGGGTTAGTTTTACTATCCTATGTAATAGTCCAAAAATAGTAGCAGCAGATATTTAAGGAAAAAGATAAGAAAAATGAGCCCATTCAAAGTATATATTCATTGGAGACTTATCCAATAACAAAACAAGAAACAAGCATGGCCAAGTAAAATTCACTAAGCCACAAACTCTAACCCTTTTATTGAGAAAAGAAACTAAATAAAAGGAGAATATTCCTTTCCTTTTTTTTTTTGCTTTGTGAGAAATATTGATTAATTTTTTTGGTATTCGAATTCTTTTTGTTGGATGCTACGAACTTCTTCCTCCACATAATTTTATTCACCTTTTCTTGTTCTTTCCCGTAATAACTACACAAGTGACAAGACAAGCAAAAGACATTTCGTATTTTTACCTCTATTTTCTCTTTCTTTTCCCAGACAAATGGTTAAAATAAATTAGCACCAAATAATCCAATGCAATATGTAATTTTATTAAGACAGTGAGCTTTGATAGGATGCTAGTGAAATATACGAGTTTATAATCTATGTCTAGAGGTGTAAAAAATATTTATATAATCAAATAAATAATATTGTTAATAAAGAAAAGCCTTTTACGGAGCATAATCTTTCCCTTTCAATTTATGTGAACTTATTTAAATGGTCACGAAATTTAAGAAAGAAACGAAAACTTTTAGAACATGTGATCCTAAACAAGTCATAATATTTGTGTGAGTGTTAAATATGCCAGAGTATTTATGTGGATATAAAAACTTGTCATTGAAGATAAAATTAAAAATTTAAATTAAATTATTTTCAAATTTAAAAAAAGACCATTCTTTTCGGAACGCATCTAAACTGGAATCGAGGGAGTATAATTTAAAACCGAAGTGAAATACCACCAAGTCACAAAAAGGACTTGGAAATCTCAACAGACAAAAAAAAAGAAAGAAAGAATTTCGATACAGCTGCTGAGTCATTAATGCTCAATTTTGGAACTTTAGGGGGCAAAAAAAGGTTAGTTGAGAGTTGGAGAGTAGTAATTTATTTATTTACTCATTAAAAAAACAATAATTTGAAAAAAAAGAAACATGTGTTGGCTTGGTGCCAAAAGGGGCCATAAGGGAAACCTTGAACAGCTGCTGCAATCTGCATGGCGAGAAAACCAAACCCGTGTTCCTGCAAAACTTTCTCTATTACACTCTCTCCTCAAAAGGGTTTGGATTTTATGAAATTTGCAAAAATCCCTTAGACTTGTTCGTTTCTCCATTTTCCTTTCTCTATTTACAGATTACAGATTTTTTTCTCTCTTCTCTACATAATACATACAAAAATTGTGACAGCTTGCAGCTTTGGTATGTCTCTATATGGACTGTCTTTCCACTTCAAATTCAATATCCCAATTCCTCATTTGGGTCTTTCTTGTTGTTGTAATTGTCGGTGCTGAAGATGGAGTCGATTGAAGATACCCGCATTCCTCAGAACAATTTGGTACTTTAATTCTTGAAAAAAATTCCTTTTTTTTTTTAACACTTGCTGAGATCTTTTGGTTGTGCATTGAGTTTTATTGGGGGTGCTCTTGGTTGCTGGTTCTTGAATTTTACTTTTTGTGCTATTTCTTTGTGTAAAATGGATATTGATTTTGTTGTTCCTTTTTTGGTTTCTCTCTTATTATATACTTAAAATAGGAATTGGGTTTTGGGAAACTGTGATAGATATGTTGTTGTTCGTTATCTAAGGCCACGTTATGAGTTAATATTGCGGGAACATGCATTCACTATTTCACTACTAAATGCAACAAATTAATGTATAGAGTAGTTCTATGTTTTTTTCCTTGGAACAGCTAATTCTAGGTAAAATGTTCCTCTCATGAAATTCAGTTAAAAGTTTCTGCTTTACTTCTTCATCCCCGTCTTTCTGGTTGATGTTTTTTTTATTTTTTCCCTTTATTATTAACTTCAATGTTTGTTAAAGATTGGTTCTTGTGTGAAAACTCCTTTTCCCATTTTTGGTCTACCTTTGTATTCCATCAGGGCAATGGTAAATTAACCAAAAAGCTCATAACTTATAGTATTAGTTTCCTCACAGTTAATTGGATGTGTTTCAGATTGTCACTTTTAAGGAAGAGACGCAGACGCTATAACTGTTCACATTGTCCTTTTTGGTGAATATGAAATTTGTCCATTCTTTTAACTGACAGGAAAAGTTATGTTTTCATAATTGTATCATTTGACTGAAGTGTTATGATTTTTAAATTTTTGCGAAGATAATCTGCTTTGTGAATAAATAAATGCATCATATGATTCATGACTTATACTAATTCAATTCAAACACAGATCCTACAAACGCCTGGAATCAAGTATAATGGTGTTCCATCTAGATTGGAAAGGCTTTTAAGAGAAAGGGAACTACGAAAATCCAGCAGGTCTCTATATGCAAATGAAGGCATAAGAGATGGCTACAGAGACTCAGATGTTTCTGTAAATGGAATTGAACTCTGTCTATCAGATGGCGATAAGAGAACCCGAGATGAAGAGCTTATTGAAGGACTTGTAGCAGCAAAAACCCTTTCTGATGGCTCTGAGAGGCTAGATGGACGACCACAAAAGCAAAGATTGTTGGTTGTGGCAAATCGGTTGCCTGTTTCTGCTGTTAGGAAAGGCGAAGATTCATGGGCTCTAGAAGTTAGTGTAGGGGGTTTAGTTCGAGCGCTGCTGGGTAAGCCAAAAAAATAATGCTCTATATACACGAAAAATGACTAGCACATTTTGCTCTTGATACCTTTCTTTCTTTTTCTCTGCAGGCATTGTTCATTTCCTTATCTTCTTAAATTATCTACTACATTTGAGCTTCAGTGAGGTTCTTATCATCTTGTATGTGTGCTAACTGATGTCTTCTTATTTTGTTAAAGGTGTCAATGAGTTTGAAGCAAATTGGATCGGGTGGGCTGGGGTGAATGTATCTGATGAAATTGGTCAGAGATCACTTACTGAAGCTCTAGCTGAAAAGGTTTGTAAAATAGGTCCCAATTTAAATTCTTGATATATACTTGTCAACAAAGTGATATGTGTAGAGCCTCTACTTCTGTATACCGCCTATTATATGTTGTTGCCACATCAACATGTCATAAAATACTGAACTTCATCTAAAAGATTTTACCTTGATGCATGCTATCAAATTTAATATCTGTATAACAACTACCATAAAAAGGTTGGATTTTTATGTGCTTTATTGTTTACATGACTGCAGAGGTGCATTCCAGTTTTTCTTGATCAAGAAACTGTTCACCAATATTACAACGGCTATTGTAATAACATTCTATGGCCTCTTTTCCATTATCTCCCACTTCCGCAAGAAGACCGTCTTGCAACCACCCGTAGCTTCCAGTCCCAGTTTGCTGCATACAAGAAGGCAAACCAGATGTTTGCTGATGTCATCAATGAGCATTATCAAGAGGGTGATGTCGTCTGGTGCCATGATTACCACCTGATGTTTCTACCAAAATGCCTTAAAGAGTATAATAGTAAAATGAAAGTTGGTTGGTTTCTTCACACACCTTTTCCTTCATCCGAAATTCATAGGACATTGCCATCTCGATCAGAGCTGTTAAGAGCAGTTCTTGCTGCTGATTTAGTTGGGTCAGTCACTTATCTCTATTTTCAATAATTCAAATATTGTCACAAATTGCTTAGGTATTGCAAACAACTATCACTTTTGAATTATGGTATTGTTCAAGATCGGTGTAACGGAGTGGACAAGGCTACCTAGAAAGAGCATAAGAGACGCTTACCGATTGTACCAACTAATGTTCTCGTGCTGTTTCACCACGAGATATTATACCTTAAATGAATCTGGGGGAAAAGAATGTAAAGCAGTTTTAACTCTTAAGGATGCAATGCGTAACAAGATCGTCTGTGGACGGTCTAGATTAGTGTAAGCACTAACCAACCCTTCTCCTAAAGACTATCTTAAAGTAGTATTCAGAAGAAGGAATAAAGGTTTGATACCATTTGTGTCCAATTTGGTTGATGCCTATTATTGGGAAGGAGTGTTTAACATATTGTGAGCAAATTCTGGTTAATTAAAGAAGCAACAAGGTAATGATAATGAAGGACTTTTTAAAGAAAATCAAACTCTCCCTTTTACTTTTTTACTTTTTTTTTCTTTTTCTTGCCTCAAGAGGTTTAGAATGAGAAAATTCTTATTGTTGTGATGGTGATGGATAAATTAGGGTTTGAGAAGCATACCACCAGGGAAACAAACTGCTTGTGTTTTCAAATACCATCAGTAAATTTAGTAAGGGGATAAGTGCCTCATTAACATCACGAAGTTCAGCTTATTTTGAATCCATGACTATTTTCTGAACTATGAAAATTTTCTGTACTTCATAATTTTGCAGCAAGAGGATTTAGATTGTCCTTTATGTTAAGAGCTTTCAGCTGACTCCGGTTTTGGATTTTTTGATTTTGTCTACAGCTTCCACACTTACGATTATGCAAGGCATTTTGTTAGTGCTTGCACTCGCATTCTTGGGCTTGAGGGCACACCTGAAGGAGTGGAGGACCAAGGAAAGCTGACGCGTGTTGCTGCGGTATATGAAGCATTTATTGATAGCTTTAAATGTTTTATATTTTTTCTTTTTTCATCATTTGCAACTTAAGTCAAGTTTCTACTTTTGCAAAAGGTTATGGATGATATATTGACTGGATCCTTTGGATGAACAGTTCCCTATCGGGATAGATTCTGATCGGTTCATTAGAGCTCTTGAGCTTTCTCCAGTCAAGCACCATATCAAAGAACTGCAAGAAAGATTTGCTGGCAGAAAGGTTCGTTCCAGAATAAAATCTTAGATCACCATGATGCAGATTTTTTTACAGCATTCAATCAGTATAGCTCGAAATATGGAATGCCTTAATTATTTCACTCCTCAAATTTTCTGTCATCCTCAGTGCAACAGTTTGATGTATGCTTCCTCGTAAAAACACCAAAAAATTGGAATATAGAAAAAAAGGTGAAAACAGATATATTATCCCATCTCAGTCATTATCACAAGAAGAGTTGCCTTAGACCTTGATTACACAGTATTACAACTTGTTTTTAAAAAGTGAGATGACCATCTATATAATAGATGGGATGACTGAGAATAAAGGAAGAAAATTGAAGAGAAGCAAAGATGGAAACCTAAATAAACTTTATTTACTGATTTTTGATTGGCAATTTGTTAATTTACAGGTAATGCTGGGCGTAGACCGTCTGGATATGATTAAGGGAATTCCCCAAAAAATATTGGCATTTGAGAAATTCCTCGAAGAGAACCCAGACTGGCGCGACAAGGTAGTTTTGCTACAAATTGCAGTGCCAACCAGGACAGATGTCCCCGAGTGTATGTTCCTTGTCATCAAGTTTATTTCTGTTGTTTAATTACAGCATATAATCTGCATCTACTACTGAATCATGTCTTGTAGATTTTGTGAACAAAAATACTGCTAGTTGTCAAGAACATCTGGAAAGAAAAAGAAAGGAAAAATGACGATGTTCTTGGATTGTGATACGCGAACTTAATGAATTCGAATTTGTTAACTGCAATAGAAGATCCTTAAAAACTTCTACAGATAAAAGCTCCTCCTCTCTAAAATTCCGATAATCCTATCTGCAACATTGCATCTTTCTGGTATTCTTCTCTAAGCTTGTATCTCTCCGATGTCTCTCTTATCTTCTCCATTCTCCCTTTTCCTCCTCGCTCGAGATCGTGAACCTTGTCAGCTTCTAATAGCCTCTTCTTAGCTCACTCACTTTCTGTTTTCATCTCAGGTGACTCTGTCTTCTGATCTGACATCTTTTGAATAGGGCAAAAAGACACTGCTTATGCAGTAATTAACCCTAGTTTAACGGCATTAAGAAATATAAGTCAGTACTTTTATCTTCTATGGAAAAGTCCCTTGTTTTTTGCCTGTGAGAAATCTTCCGAATGTTCAAAGACTGACAGTGCAAATTCGAGTGGACTGAATGGAAGAGAAGATCTGTAAACAGGAGTAATGTTGAGGGCGAGGTACATCAAGAGTTTGAATCCTGCTGGCGAATCAAATGAACCAATTTTGGTACTTAATTGCAGAAGGATCAAGGGGTAGGCCTATCATTTTCTGAGTTCCGAAGTTGGAAAGAGTGGATTCTGATTTTAAAAAAAAAGATTCGTTTATATCCTCCTCAAAAAAAAGAAGAAAAGATTTTGCACCAAGTAGAAAAATTCATATCTATAAAGCAGTAAAGCACAGTAATTAATGATCTTTCAAGATTTTTTTTGTATTGAATCGTTAATTGTTAGTGTAATTTCTAAAATTATTGTGCATTATATATATGCTATCGTCAAATTATCATTGAGAAAGATGACTCAAAACTTCTGATTTTTAGACTAACTTTGTAAAATTGAAAATAAAATCCGCATATGGGTAGTAAGGTATATTATTGCCAAGAAAGCCTTGTTATTTGTTAAACATTTTGATAATTATCATGGGATTTCCTTATTAAACCTGTTGAGCAGATCAAAAGCTTACGTGCCAAGTACATGAAATTGTGGGACGCATCAATGGAAGATTTGGAACTCTAACAGCTGTCCCGATCCATCATTTGGTCTGTCTCTTGTTACTTTATAGTATGAATTTAATTGTTGATATTAATGGATATGTATTACTGTTTTAATCATGCTAGGCTCTAATGCTTTGCAATTTGATTTTGTTGATACTTTTGTAAAGTCCTAAGTTGGTGCAACTTGTTTTGTTTTTTATTTTCAATGATTGATTCTTCTGTATTTTGAGAATTATTTTTTTCCATTTTAAGTTTTTTAAATTTTAGGAATGCTGTAATTTCTGGATGTCGTGCAGTTTCTTAAAATGTTGAATCGGTATGATATTGTTCATTCTGTTTCAAGTGGGTCTTCTCAGTTGCTTGAGTTTTAAAGTAAGATTAACAGGTTATTGGTTATTCCCCAAGTTGTTTTTTGTCATTTTTCCTTTACAAAAATGTTCACTGTCTCCCATTCCCCATTTTAACACTAGATCATAATGATCAAACGATAAGGACTTACAAAAAGAAAAAAACAGAAAAAATGACAGCCCGATGCACGAAGCATCCCGCGTTCACGCAGGGTCCACGGAAGGGCTGCACGCCAAGGGGTGTGTGATGTGGGCAGTCTAATCAGTGGCGGATTCCACGACTCAAACATGTGACCTATAGGTCACATGAAAGATAAGTTTATCGTTGCTCCAAGGTTCCCCTCTATCAAAATAAATAAATAAAGAAGATATAACAATAAAGGTCTTAGGAGTACCTTTTTGAATCCTCTGATGTAATGGTGACATTAATACCTATGTCTTTGAAGGAGTATTGTAGAGTTAGAAGCATTTTACAGGGTGAAGTATTCAACATTTGTTACTTTGCAGCAAAATTTGTTAATTTTACAATTTGATGCTGAAACGTTACAGTTGAGAAACTCATCTCTTGCCCAAAATGTTGAGTGTTTTCTTACAAGTATAAAGGGGGAGACTGGTTTCCTTGCAGCGGATCTCCTCCCCTTCACCCCTTGCCACCTCTTAACCTGGTGCTGAATTTGGATCCTCGCCATACCCCTAACTCATTTACTTTCCTTCTATTCTCTTTTGTCAATCCAACCCTCCTGCCCCTTTCCTTACCCATGTCTAATTATGATAATTATTTCCTTTTTGTTTGCTGGATTGACACATGACTCAGAATCTAATTTTGAGCCAGCAGTTTGCATCTTATACATTTAATAGTATGAAGTTAGGTACCAAATCATAAAAAGATAAATACAAGGTGTGAAGTGCCAAACGGGCATATATTAGAAGCGCATTAAACGCAACATTTGGTTAAAATTGTTTTTCCTTTACTCTTATTTTCATTAAGTCTCTAAATTCACACTTCAACTTATTTATGCTTCATCTCGGCCTGTAAGTTCACTCCTTAAAACTTTACGATTGCAGACACAGATAAGAATTTCTCAAGGTACTATTGGTGTAAATACACCTACTTAGCATGGATATCAACATCTGTTTAGGGTAAAATGTAGAGTTGGACAGCACCGAGGGTTGAAAACAATGGAAGGCTAGAGTTCAAATCCCAGCAGACAAAACACGTTAGGTGATTTCTTCGTGTCTGCCTAAGTCTCGGTTGGTAGAGTTAACTGGTGCTTGTGCATGTGGAGGTAGCAGGTAGCCGATGCCATATTCGAGGAGTGCACACGATGGCCCGAACACCACTGTTTTAATAAAATAAAAGTGGAGTTGGGAATGTGAGGTAGTACGCACCATGGCAATTTTACTTATAAGGAAACTATCATAACTGAAATATAAAAGTCATAATGAAGATCTTCGTCATTCGTAACTCATAACATGCATAATTATAGAAGAAATGGACCAAATATCAAAAAGTTTTGATGCTACAACACAAACGACTCTCAATAGTACTCAATGTTATGCGACATAAAGGAATCTCAATGTGAATCCTATCTTTGCTAAAATGTTAAGGCCTTTCATTATGATTAAAAACTTGCATATTATTTATCTTCTCGATTAGTGTACCCAAATAACAGATCAGTGGATGATTCATCAGTTATGTTTCTTTGTTTGTTCTATGGTGTCTTGATATTATGCTATAATTTGGGTAGTCCATATCTGTAGATACTCAAGAAAATCTTTGTCCTTTTACTTTGTGCCTTATGCGAAAAACATTTCTTCCAAAGGGATCCCGTTATAAAATGTTCTTTATTCATGGAAAGACTTCTGTTATCATTTCCTCTTTGGATTGGACATTTATGGGTGTTTCCTGACTCTGCCTTTTTTCCCCAGCTTCTATTAAAGGTGGGGCACAGATACTAGATTACTTCAGAATTCTTCTTAAAGTTGGAGCGCTCATTTTTTCTGATGTCATTTTTTAATTAATGATTCTAGGTATCCTTTTGATATAACCTACTAGGATGTTCAAAGCAATTCTGAGAGTAATTACTCCTTGAAAATTTCTCATCTTCATGGTAGATCAGACTTCTTCTGATTTTTATGTCAATACAGAAACTCAGTTGAACCTTGAGCATGAGGACACGCACTTGGCAGTTTTAGATATTTATTGTACTACAGGTGAAAGAAATATTGCGACAAATACAAAAGGATACTGTATTAACTCTTGAGATGTCATTCAAGTAATTCCCGAAAAAGTCTTATATAAAAATTTCTTGGCATATAGGAATGGCTATGAGTATACCAATTTGTCGTCTTCCGAATTGTAGTTGGGCTGGATGGGAAAGTAAGGACAAACTAAGGAATTACTTACCTTTAACACTTAACTCTTGGTAATTTAATACACACAGTGTTTGGGCTGTTGTTAGAGATTAAGCAGCTAGTTTATGTCAGGAAACCTTGTATTGCTACAGCTTTCTGCTGGATAAATAGACTCATCCAAACTCTATCAGGTAATGCTGCATAGTCAAATCCTTAAAGTATAGTTTCCGTGCTTCAAATACTACTACTTTGAGGCATCAGGTCAATTAATGCAAACCTAATTTCTGAAATGGATTGAAAAAAAAACATTTCACTTCTAATTTTACTACTTCGTGGCAGAGGAAAGCCCAACACTTTGACATCACTCTACTTATCGGAAGGGATAAAACCCAATACTTTGACAAAGTCTATAACACTAACCAGTAACATAAAATAAGCCGAATTATTTTGTTGGTGTAGCATTTCTGCGTGAAGGGTTCCATCAATCTTATCTTCTCTGAATGACATTCTCTTTTGCTTGCTTTTAATACTTACTTACATCTTAATCAAAAAGGTCACGTCGTTATACTGAAGGTCTGGTTCTTCCGTGTTTTTTCTTTGGTTTTAATCATATATAATTAGAAAATATATTGCTCTTGATCCGGGAAAATCTTTATCTTTCTTCATCTGTTCTACTTGAATTGCAAATCCTCTGAACCGGGAAAATCTTTTTCTTTATCTTTTCTACTGGAATTGCATATCCTCTGAATAGATTTCATGTGGTGTCATTTTCCCAAGAAAGCTTTCATTTCATTGATGGGATTTGTCAATTACTTTTTTCTGAGAGTAGAAAACATTAATTATAGGTCTACAGTCTGAGATTGATGGTCAGTTAAACATCATGGAATTGAGTCAATTGTATCAGCACTAAGTTTCAAGTTTAACTTTTGTTGCTTGAATACAACAGTGTTTAATGAAGTGGCTGATAATAAGAGGAAATGTTTTTGAAAAGGGATGGTTCCTATTGGAATTTTTTTCACTCCTAGAGGGTGCTTTTTTATTTTATATTTTTGTGGGGGGTAAGTCAACTAAAGTTTATAGATATACCAAGATGGTGTTAGGTTACAGAAGCATTGACTACATGTGATGTTATGTCCCCAAGAATCAAGCCAACTAGATATAAAACACGGATCTTCCACTTTACACTAAAATAAACTGAAGGGTGAATATTTGAGTTTGAGAACGAGTTCATGATTCTGGCTGGTGGCATTTGGTATTTCTTATTCTCATTTCAGCTTTTTCTGCCACTTCTTCTCATCGTTCCTTTTTGCTTTATGAGCGATTGCCATAGCCCTGTGAAGATTCTAATGATATTCTCTTTATATTTACAGGACCGCTCTCTTGATTTTAATGCACTGTGCGCAATTTATGCTGTCACTGGTACTCATTCTTGTTCCCTTACAAGTAAACTGCCTCTTATCTTCCTATAAATTATACTGGAAATAACTTTAATATGGTTAGAAGGTGGAAAACATAGTTGAAATCTTCTGATAGAGAGGGACAGATATAGGGAAGGGAAAAAAGGAAAACAGCAACACATTCCCAAGGGGTTGCCTGCTCAATATCTGAAGAAAAGAAAGCAAAACTTGCAGCCGTCTGTGCCAAAACTTTTATAAGAGTGCAAATTACTTATCAGTCCTAGGATGATGTCCTGAACTGACATATGAATGTACTAATACTACTGTTTATTTAGTTTTTAGATTTTTGGCTATGTCCATGTATGATAGTATATGTTGAGGGCAAAAAAGATGCTAGATGGGCGGCCAAAAAAACTTACTCTTTAGAAACTTGAAAGGACAAGTGGCATCTTTCTTGTTTGCAGCACATAATAATTTATTTTTTAACATTTTATTTCTTTTTTAATTCATACCACCAATTTTATGATGATTCTGATAACACTCGTAAGTTTCAAAATGCCTAAAGTTTTCCCGAATACACTTTTTGCTCCTTTTGTCACTTGTTTTTCTGTTTCTTGGATTTTGTTTAGTTGTTGCTCTAGTTACATCCCTGAGGGATGGAATGAATCTTGTCAGCTATGAGTTTGTGGCCTGCCAAGCATCCAAGAAAGGAGTCCTAATTCTAAGTGAGGTAGGCAGTTCTCTTTTTATCTATGGATTTGATTTCACTAATAACATTTTTGGAATCCTGGATCGGTATGCATATGACCTATTCTCACCATTTGAGCTAGATTTTCGGGTTGATATAGGAGCTAGGTTATTTTCTCAACATGGCATCAGAACTAGGCTCATCCTCGATGTTGGGCTACCTAATGTTGGGTCACACACATTATGTTGCTCCACGCTCCAGACGGCCAGCCTTGAGCATGGGGGGAAGGGGTGAGGGTTGTTAACATCCCATATAGGTTAAGTATGATTGTAGTCTCTTTGTATGATTGAGCTTGTTTTTGGGATTGAGCTATTCACTATGTTCACCTTCTCAACCATGGTCTTAGTAGCAAAGAAGCTCCAATGGAAATCTTAATGTTTTGCCTAAGAAGATAGAGATATAGTATTGCAAAGGCCTTGTCTGGTGTTGGTAATGAATACCTCAACATGCAAAAAGGGATATATGATAGTGTCTATTTTGTTGCTTTTATTTCTACTTCAACTTCTGTATGCAAGTTTACATTGGCTTCTAGAATTCAGAAGCCCTTTGGAATGTGATTCAGGATGGAAAGTGGCATCATATCCTTAGATAAACTCTTCCTCCCTATAAATACTGTTTACTAAACATCAGATTGCTACTGCACATGTAGACGTGCTATACAAATGATATGAGTGGCATATTCTTGCATAACATTGGCATGAGATGACTTAAATGGAGTAACGTGGTCAGCGAGGATTCATATAGCTGACTCAACTTGTTTGGGACCGAGGCATATTGTTGTATTCTTGCATAATATTTCCTTAATTACAGTTTGCAGGTGCAGCACAGTCTCTTGGTGCTGGGGCTATTTTGGTGAACCCGTGGAATGTTACTGAACTTGCGTCCTCTATTGTTTATGCTCTAACAATGTCCGCCCATGAAAGAGAAAAACGACATCACCATAACTTCATGCATGTCACTACTCACACTTCCCAGGAATGGGCTGAAACATTTGTAAGGTATATCCTTAATGTGTCAGAGTAGCTCTTATGGTTTAAACTTGTCACATTTGTATTTTGATAATAAAGGACCCCCCTTTATGCTCTACATTATGTACTTTTCACGTTTTTTGAAGTCTAAATCAATAACAATATCAATTAAGCGGTCACAAGACAAACAGTTTGCTCAGACACTCTTTTAATCAGTTTTGCCCAATGTCAATCCTAGTGCAATCTGATGCTACTACTTTTTCTTCTTCTATGCAGCGAACTCAATGATACAGTTGTTGAAGCTCAACTGAGGACTAGACAAATTCCACCTCAGCTACCAACCAAATTGGCTATCGAGCGCTACTTGCGATCAAATAATCGATTGCTTATATTGGTAGTCCTTTTTCCTTTCCCCAAAATGCAAAAATATTATATGCATTTTTTTTTGTAAAATCCTAATTCCACCCGTTGATTATAATTTTTATATATATTATTATGGTCTTAGTACTTGGTGTCAACTCAAAAGGATCAAAATCCAGGAAACCGGTGCAGTATGACACTGCTGGTGAATTCTACATTCTATTGAAAGATGAAGTTTGTACAGTTAGTTGTTCATAAAGGCAGATAATGTTTTAAAAGCGTGCATTTAAAACAGCTCAGGCTGAAGCAATTGTCGTAGCTCCTATACGGATTTCTAGGGCTTGCTTTGCTCAGGATGTTATTTCCTTTGCCTTCTCAAACCATTTATTTGACTTTTGGTTCACGAATTTGATAAAGGATATGGAAAGACTGAACATATAGCTGTTTTGACCAGATACTGATGTATCTATATCCTGTCATTTCTTCATTACTGCTGCACATGTTTACTTAACCTCACCTTACTACTATAGGATCCCAATCAATGCTGGGACTGCAGTCTGTTGTGTTGCTCATTACTGCCTGACATATTTGAACATAAAGTGCTGAACTGGCTTTTATCAAAATATGTCTCATGATAAACTTTTGCTGTTTTTTGTCGAACAAATGTTTGTAATATCAAAGGGATGATGTCGTCTTAAGAAACTATCCTTGTAGGGTACATGTGATGCTGTTGCATAAGGTTATGCACATTTAAGGAGTTTCTGCACTAGGATACTTATATTTTTTTCTCTGTTACGATGTCTCACCTACTTATATTATTAGCTGAGGACAAGGTAGTTCTGATGTTGCCGTTTTCTCAAAGTCACATTTTTTTCTTCCAAGAAAAGCTTCCTTGGAACTTGCCCAAATGAGAACGAAAAGTTCTATCTAGCTTTAGTCATGATATTTATTGGTAAAATAGTTATTTTTCCTTCACTGCTCCACTTATTCTCTACTATTCCATTTGTTAATTTATAGATAGTCTATTGGGCCTGTTGGAAGTGGAGAGGGACTGTATCGTAGAGCATTAGTCAAACTAAATGTCCAATTTACTGTGTATTTTTGCTTGCGCTAAGCTATTTGTCTCATTTAGTATGTGTTTTGAATGCTCCTTCTCATTATAGTTCCAAAAGTTTTGAACATATGAATGACGAAGACAGGGGATAAGCTGCTTTGCAGTTCCCTAAATATGGAATACTTGGTTTTGACAATCATTCTCTGTAATTCAGGGTTTCAATGCCACATTAACAGAGCCAGTGGACGCCCAGGGAAGAAGGATTGATCAACTAAAAGAAATGGAGCTTAAGTTGCATCCAGATTTAAAAGAACCTTTAAGAAAGCTCTGTAATGACCCAAAAACGACAGTAGTTGTCCTCAGTGGAAGTGACCGGAATGTTCTTGATGAGGTGTCCTACTTACATAAGTTAACGTCTTTCTATCAGCATTTATATTTGTTGACTGACTTCATTTACAGAATTTTGGAGAATATAGGATGTGGTTGGCTGCTGAACATGGAATGTTTTTGCGACAAACAGAGGGGAATTGGATGACTACGATGCCTGAAAATCTAAATATGGATTGGGCTGACAGCGTGAAGGTGAAACACTGTATTTTGAACTTGAATTGTCTCAAATTTGTGAAGTTTTTGAAATCATAGTCTATCTTCATTTGTTTCAGCATGTATTTGAGTATTTCACTGAGAGGACCCCTCGTTCTCATTTTGAGCTTCGTGAGACCTCACTTGTTTGGAACTATAAATATACAGGTCATTAGTCTATGCCCAATTTAGGTCCATCTTTAATCAAATAAATACCCTTATGTTTATTTGTCGTTTTGGACTACTCATTCTGTTATTGGGTTCTGAGCATGCAGATATCGAGTTTGGAAGACTTCAATCAAAAGATCTCTTGCAACATTTGTGGACAGGCCCAATTTCAAATGCTTCTGTAGATGTAGTCCAGGGTAGTCGATCTGTTGAGGTTCGAGCAGTTGGTGTTACTAAGGTCTGTGCTGGCATTCCTAGAATGTTCATTTTGTGTTAAATTGATTATTTTCTTATGCAGCTTATTCTGGTACAGGGGGCAGCAATTGATCGTATTTTGGGAGAAATAGTGCATAACAATGATGTGAAGGCACCAATCGATTATGTTTTATGCATAGGGCACTTTCTGCCAAAGGTGTGTAATCTTTTTTATGTTATGGTTGACAAAATGCTGAATTAACTGTTAAATGCTCTATTTGGATGAAAGTTATGGCTAACAGCATATATACTTGACCAGTCTGAACACTTAAGCTTTTAAATTGCAGTGTAGGAACTCCCTTTTGACCTAAAAACTCTGCGCAACATATAACTTGGCATGGTTTTGTGGTTGGATTTTGTGGCAGATTGCATCTTAACAAAGATTGTTGAGTCCTTGCTGATATTTAGTGCACACTATGCCTATGCGCCGCATGTGGGCCTAGATGAAGAGGTTAAACGGCGCTTCTGGGAGGGGTTAGATGAGATTGTGCGCCAGGTTCCGCCTGCTGAGAAGCTATTCATAGGAGGGGATTTCAATGGGCATATTGGGTCGACCGCAGGTGGTTATGGCGAGGTGCATGGAGGCTTCGGTTTTGGGGAGAGGAACGGAGGAGGTACATCGCTGTTGGACTTCGCTAAGGCTTTTGGGTTGGTGATTGCGAACTCTAGCTTTCCAAAGAGGGAGGGGCATTTGGTTACTTTTCAAAATG